CAATCCCGATGTTGGAATGGGTATGTCTTCAGCTTCTTTACATATGAAGTTGACAGTCTCAACGACTGGCACATTTGTGAAAAGGGAGGTAACATCGAAAGAGACCAAATGCTTATCGGATACATTGAAATCTTTAATTTGATTGAAAAATTGAAATGAATCAGAGACGTTCCGAAACGTTTCCGCAATGGCTGCAACAGTTCACATAACCACTGTGCTAATCTGTGGTATGGTGAGTTTATCATAGAGAGTATGGGTCTTAACGTCGCTCCTGGTTAATAAAGCAGGATTTAATGAATTCATCAAATTTCGGTAGAACTCGTCAGCTGAATACTCTACATACACGGATATATATACTTTTGAAATTACATAGGGAGATATAAGACTGATAAGTTGAAAACTCTACATACACGGGTATATATACTTTTGAAATTACATAGGGAGATGTAAGACCTTTATTGCTTGTTTTAAATTCGTATCGGGAAATAAATGTTTTCAATTCTTGAAGAAGCGTCTCCCAAAAAGCACTATCAATGCACTAAATGATCTAGTGAAATTGAAGTGTAGGATTGCTAAACACTCTGCACGACGAGATTTTTTGAAGGAATGTATCCAGAATAATATTTATCCTCGAACATTTTACAAATCCTTGCGTAAAGATCATTTGAGACCTACACGGGCAAATCTTTACCGTCTTGCTGAATCACATTTGTGTTCTGAAACAGATGAAATCAGTAATTTATGCCTATTGTCAAGTAAACTGATCAGTGTACAAAATGAATTAAACTTTGTATGTTATATTAAATTCACTAAATATCTGCATGCCACATCAAAAAAGACAAAAGAATCAGAAGAAAAGAAACTGAAGAAGTCACTTCATCCGGAACCGCCAAATGAAATTTTCCCAGTGGATATATCTAATTATGTTCATAATTTGTCTGATATTTCCCTATCGAAAGAACAAGCAGAAATTCTGTCACTGGGATTCAAATTCTGTGTTCCCATGAAAAAGATAAAGCAAATTGATATCGAATGCCAATTCGAAAATCTTTATGATCAACTTATAGGGCTACATGCCACGTCCAGTGACAGCGAAAGCTGGTTGAAAGCAAAGATGGTTGATATTGCTCATCAATTTCGAGTCATGCCAACCAATCAAAAGTCGCATATCACCAAAGAACACTGGAGATCTTTAAACAAGCTCCGAAAAGACAAAAATCTTGTTATCTTACAAGCTGATAAAGGACAAAGTGTAGTGCTAATGAACAAGATAGATTACCTCGAAAAAATGAATCAAATTCTCTCTGATGAATCTAAATTCAAATTGGATAACCATGCAAAAGACCAAACGTTATCAACCGAAAGGAAAATTGTGCAGCATCTACGACAACTCTTCAAAAATAAATACATTGACGAAAACACATATAAAATATCAAACCGATTGGGTCACAAATCCCAAAACTATACGGACGCGTAAAAATACACAAACCAGGAGCGCCGTTAAGACCCATACTCTCTATGATAAACTCACCATACCACAGATTAGCACAGTGGTTATGTGAACTGTTGCAGCCATTGCTGAAACGTTTCGGAACACATATAGTCTCTGATTCATTTCAATTTGTCAATCAAATTAAAGATTTCAATGTATCCGATAAGCATTTGGTCTCTTTCGATGTTACCTCCCTTTTCACAAATGTGCCAGTCGTTGAGACTATCGACTTCATATGTAAAGAAGCTGAAGACATACCCATTCCAACATCGGAATTGAGGAAATTACTACTTTTATGTACTAAAAATGTCCAATTCCAATTCAACGGGCGTCTGTTCCGTCAAGTTGATGGTGTCGCAATGGGAAGCCCTTTGGGACCACTTTTCGCAGACTTATTCTTGTCACGCCTAGAAACCGGTGCTTTGCAGCAACATATACAAGAAACAAATGCATACCTAAGATATGTTGATGACATTTTTATTGTCTGTGAAAGCAGATCAAAAGCGGAAGACATGTTGATAAAATTCAATTCATGCCATCCAAATCTCAATTTCACAGTAGAACACGAGGAAAACAATACTATTAAATTTCTAGACGTTCTTCTGACCAAAATGAATGATGGCACAATCCAAAGATCTATATTTAGAAAGTCTTCATGGACAGGACAGTACATGCATTTCAAGAGCTTCGTTCCAATCCAATACAAAAAGAACTTAGTCAGAACTCTGTTCAATAGAGCACGAAAATTTGTTCTGACAGTACTATTGAACATGAAATAAGATCTCTGAAGGATATTATATCTAAGAACGGATATCCTGAGAAGTTCATAATTAAATATTCTAAAGAAATGAGCTCCTGTAAAACTATCCAAACAGTTCCAAAGAAACCTGTCTATATCAATTTGCCATTCAAAGGAGATGACGTACAGGAAGTAGTGAAACGAAGACTTGACAAAGCCATCAAGAGAACTTATTATGCTGCAAAACTTGTTATCCTCAACACCAACAAGCGAGTGCTTCAACAATCTGGGAAAGACCAGTCACCAATCCTCGACACTTCAAACTGCATATATCAATTTGAGTGTGTTTGTGGCAGCAAATATATAGGTCGTACGGAAAGGCGATTGTCTACTCGCATGATGGAGCATTTGCCAAAATGGTTGAAAACAGCTGAGTGCAAAGTCCCAAAATCCTCAATAACAAAACATCTCGTGGATTACGGACATGATATCGACGCCGTCAAGTCATTCACCATCGTCAGCAAACAAAGAAACAAGAAGATGCTTGCAATTGCAGAGGCTTGTGCAATTCGAATTTACAAACCACCTCTCTGTATACAAAAGGAGATGGTCGTCACTCTGAATCTACCATGGTAATACGCTTTACTTATTATTCTCTACTTGTTATTACCATTATTCTACCTCTTCTTCTTCTTATTTTTGTTATTATTACTATCATTATTATTATTCTTGATTCATTTAAATCTATGCTTTATCCGTAAGATTATCTTAACTCACTTCAACACTATTAAAATTGTTATTTTAACTATTACTATTGATATTAGTCTGTTTGCAATTCTCTTTATATTCCCTAATGACTAATTGTTTATCTAAGTGATGTAATTGAAGCGTAATGCAATTTATCTTAATTTTGATCTCTCATACTCTCTCTCGCCTTATCTATTTGAACATGATCTGGAAAACATTCGCACCTGTCGTCTTTCTGCATGATTAATTCAATGTAGTTTGTTTACTTATCAGTCTTATATCTCCCTATGTAATTTCAAAAGTATATATATCCGTGTATGTAGAGTATTCAGCTGACGAGTTCTACCGAAATTTGATGAATTCATTAAATCCTGCTTTATTAACCTTTATTGCTTGTTTTAAGTTGAATTTTCAAATGAATGGCTACGGAACAACGAATATTCTTTTCGCCAACCTGCTCTTGGTCATCAGCTTCTACAGTTATACGGATCCATAATAGTGAATGAATTAGTGTTATTAACAACAACATTAATCTTGTTTAGATAACATCGAATCAATAATAATGATATCAATGGATTGTTGTTCGTTCAGTAACCATTCTTTTGAAAAGAATTTTAATAGGTATTTATAATCAGTTAAATGGAATTCAAAATAATTTCCGGTTAAGGGTTAAATTAATAAAATCACAATTAGGAATTAAAATGCCATAATAAACAGGGGGTAGATGGATAAAATTAAAACAAAGTGGCATCATAATTATAATAGAGGTTTTTTGTATTTCCCAATGAATGAAAAAACAAAACGTTTTGTTTTTTCATTCATTGGGAAATACAAAAAACCTCTATTATAATGAATATCATATACCCAATGTCCAGATTTTTTCAAACCGTTAAAAGTGAACTTGGTTTGGATATATATGGCATCATAATTATTGGGAAGATTGACATATTGTGCAGTTAGGGGTTAAAATGTATATTTCTACCCCACTAGTTGTACAATCTTATTGCATATATTTATTCTCCTCATATGATTCGATAAATATAAAGGCTCCAGTTATCAATCTCTCCCTCCTCTTTGGTGTATTAGATAGATTTAAGACTGTGTCTTCATGTCCCATCCTATTATATGGTTGTGTGTAATTGCATGTAGCGTTATATGTATATAACTGAGCTACTTTCCAGATTTTTTTTATCTTGTCAGGGTCAACTAATCTAGATCGTAACCTAACGACCCCGCCTTGCATCCCTAGCAGGGTCGCGGGTGTTTCGATTGGGTCTGGGACTCTTCCCCAGAGTTCGAACCTACGGCCTTCAGGTTACAAGCTGATCTCGTAGACCACTGAAACCCCATCCAATAGCCAGTGAATTCCAACTACTGCTAATTTATAATATATTATACGGCGCGGCCAACAACCAAGGTAATCAGCAAAAAACTATCCTTTTACGCAACTTGGTGAACACCGGTGCTCTTGAATTCTTACAAGAACTCCAGGAAACTTCCTGTATACAGCCAGTCGTCAATGAGCATCAGATTAGTTTTTAAGTGTTGGTTTGCAGGGGATTCGATTAGTTTCATGTTTGATCATGAGGTGAAATCACAGTTAGAGAATCACTGGAAACCGGTATTGGAGAACTGTTTCGTCCCTGATCACGACTCTTCATAGGTGCGCACACCCACTGGGATTTTAGAATTTGAGCTAGATTTTGGTGTTCCGCTCATTTAATTAACTCCATTCTACAACTCTCACCTAAGTATATGACCTCATCTGGCGTGGACACCTGAAAAATTTTATTATCAATAATGATAAATAGGCAAGGAATAACGAGATCTATAAAAATCAGGTTTTGATGTTGTATGTAGTTACAATTGACGCTCGAAATCTCATCATTCAGTAAACACTGTGTATGAATGTGTTTATGCGTATAATACATCTAATAAACAAACTGATATGGAATTACATAGATAACCACAAAATCAAAGTTATATATTATAGTTGTTAAGATATTTTTTCATAAACCTTACCTGTATCGATTTCCTACCTTCACTTCAGCATAAGGATCTGATCCATCATTGGATACAACTAAATCATCTGTGGAATAAGACAGAAACATAAATAACGGAAAGATGAGTATACTATCACAAGTGTCGTCAGAATAATTATAAAAGATATGCGTCAGTCGGGAATCGAACTCTGGAACATGTGCATGGTCGGTGAGAGTCCTAGTTGCTGTGCCACAAAGTGATACTGAGCTGTCAGTTCGTGTTTAACTTGACTAAAATGTGTCTGAAGAACGCGATAATACAATCACAACTGATCGCCTGGATTTATCTCACACAATGCGATAGACATAAAAGTTAGACTGGGAAAACGATGACGACGACAACAACAACAGTAACAACATTTATTGAACAAAATACACAATATATCATATTTTTAAAACCTCAGGAATTTAAGCCATAAGTAAATAAACAAATCTGATTCGCTGTGTAACATTGTAATCTCTCAGAAAATTAAGCCATAAATAAACCAATCAAAAATTATCCAGTCGAGTTACAATGACAATGCATGCATAAATCACGATAACACGGCTAACAAATGAGCTTTCCCATTCTAACAAAGAAAATATATCCGGCCCAAAATATCATGGAATCGACAATTCGATTCAGTGGTCAACTGAGCGGCAGACAGGCGCATGTGGTTAGCCAAGTTCGATTCCTGACAGACATACTCCTAAGCCACACCTAGTTGATAATAAGCCCGGGATTAAAAGAGAAAAGGTTGAGCGTATAAGGCTACTAACATCAATATCACTGAAACTTTATAAGGCTTAAACGCCAAAAGTCTTATGTTTCAATCGGAGCGCAAAGGGATTAAAAAAATATATATAATGATGTTAGTGCCTAAACAAGTGAGTTAAACATCCCCAACCCAACTTGTCTTTCCCCATTTATATTCCACTTGAGCGCTTGGCTCGTGATGTCACTTAACCACATGCCACTTAACGTTATGTCGAATACATCTCGATTGCCTTCTTCATATTTGTTGGAAGAGTTACCCTTACAGTTTATCCTTGATGATCGGCTATTTGATATCCAACCTCGAACGAAGCGGGTAGTCACCTGTTAGAAATGCTTTTCTGAAGGGAGCAGCCGGACTGTGTAGGGTATACAGAACAGCTGACTGAAAACATTAGTAATGTTCGAAATTCGAATCTTGTTCCTCATGGAAAGTGGCAGTAGACATCAACAATGATTTCAGATAGATGAAAGCCTGCCTTACTTTTCCGATCGTGGATAACTTTGACATCCTCATCTGTGCCACCTGTAGTTGAGACAATGTCTCACGGCCAGGTATAAATGAGAGAGTTGACTTCCTTCAGATTCTTTCCTATAACCTGTGTTGTTCAACATATCTGTCTTCTCTGTGTTCATCACTTGATGAAAGCCCTTTCTTCACTGCTTGTGTCTTTCACCACCTTGTTCCTTTATGCCTGTAGATCTACGAATTTATGTGAAATGAAACATAAATTATCTGAAAAGTTCATATCGTTCAGAGTCTTTTCACCGACCTATTTTACTAGGCGGTCGTCCTAAGTCCGGCGTGTAGGGCTGGTGATCCTACTTCGGGAAAATCAATACAATTGCTACAGAAACTTCATATCTCAGGAAAACTATATTTAAAAAAACACTGAATATCGTTAGTAGCTTTTTAAATCCAAATAAATGAAGGCTAGTTGTTAGCTTGAATGGTGTTATGAAGATAAATGGGAGCAATCACTACTGAAACCTAAAAATATACCAGACTAAAGGATTATTATTATGATTCCCATGGGTTCCAAGTGGAGCATAGGGCTTCATAACATAGCATAGCAATTTCGCTTTATTCCAGAAACAGTACTTGTGGTACAGTGTGGAATTTTCAGCACATATCTACAATATTGCATCTAATTTCATCGTACATTTAAAAGGAGTATTACAAAAAAATAAATATAAAAAAAACAACAAAAAACCACACAAAAAAACACAGAAATAACAAAAAAATGCAAATAAAAATACCAAGTAGAAAGGAAGATAAACACCAATAATGAAAAAATATTTCAGTACTGGGTAGTGGAAGCTATGATATGTGTATGCGTGGTGAACAGTAACAGCTATAATCATACAAGAAATTATGAGATGTTCTTGAGAATGTTTATAGCCAAGATGATCAGTTAATTTGATTGAACAACACTAAACAATCATAAAATAAACATTTCAGGTTGTGTTTTTTTTTATTGTCAGCACTAATGCAGTGTTTGTAGTGGTAGTGTGAGTAATCATGCATAATACAAAATTTTTTAAGATGCTGATAGTGGCGTTCACAAACAAGATTGTCAGTTAAATAGTGCCGAACAAAGAACAACCACAAAACTAATATTACATGATGGTTAATGACGGGACAAATTTTTAATAATCATAGTGATAATATAGTCGGACCCAGTAGATATACAAAAGAAGGAATAGAGAAAAGTACAAAAAAGTAAGCCAATGATAATAATATTAAGTAGCTAAGTATGTTTAAGAAGGTTGTTCACTATAGAGTACAAATAAGAGAGTATAAGGGGGAAATAACAAGGGCCAAAATTATGTTATTAACAACAAAGCAAGTCATAAGTTTCACGCCTAACATTGTCTCTGTCACTTAGAACACGGGCCAAATATGGTATCGTTGAGTTCCTATACTTGGTTGTACGAGCATATATTATTTTGTACTGATTTCTGGTTCTACCTGATGAGATGCAAGGAGAGAGTTGGGAATAGAGGGGGTGTTGGGGGTCATAGAGTATGGTTTTAGACCATTTCTCGCATGTATTCAGATGCTTATCCACTAATGTAGTGACGAGCTGACTGAGTTTTACACCGCTAGTCCTACTAACTACTTTCAACATCCTTCTCAGGATGGTATAGTCCTTTTTCAGTAACCCAGGAAAGACTAACGGGGAGCAGTAAAGTAGAATAGGTAGGATACGAGAGTTGACAAATTGTGAAAGCAGAGGTTGAGGGACTCCAGTCAGTCTGAGTTTCTTAATGTAGTAGGTTAGACGAAACACTTTCTTGGAAATCATTTGGATATGAGATGACCAAGTAAGGTCGGAAGATAGAACTAATCCGAGGTATTTTGCATTAGACTTTGTTTCAATTATAGTCCCCTCAATGCTACAGGCTTCATGAGTGCTTACTAGTGTTTGTAGATCTCGTTTATGCCCAAAGGAGAAGTCGACAGTCTGGCATTTTGAGGGATTCAGCATGAGGCCATTTAGTTTAGACCACTGACTGATGTCAGACAGGAAGCTATTTTATTTGAAACAGTCTAACTGAGACTTAACGGGAAGCGAAACAGTCAGGTCATCTGCATATTTGACGAAGTTGATTTCTTCTGAAAGAGGTAAGTCATGTAAGAAGAAGGAAAAGAGAAACGGCGAGAGAACAGCACCCTGAGGAACACCAGCTTCAGTAAGCAAAGGAGAGGAAGCTACACCATTATATACCGTGTACTGCATTCTATTGGAGAAGTAAGAGTGCAGCCAGTTGATAGCCCAGGACTCAGTTTGTATAAGGCTAAGCTTGTTTAACAAAAGGCCTCTAGGTACAGAGTCAAAAGCAGATGTGTAATCAAGGAAAGTACAACGGACATACTTGGCCCCTTTGTCTAAGGAGTATACAATACATCTCTACTATCTCCTATTATATTTTCTTTTATCCTCTACAGCTGTCCAGGTCCACGATTAATGGCCATAATCTCTTATCTCCTTCTCCCTAACACACAACCTCCTCCGTGTTACCGTCGCACTGACGACCCACTCGTCGCTCGTTTCTCATTAGGATTCCACTGCAGCAATGGCCTGCACTGCGCACAATGTCATTAGACCGACGATCTCTCCAATGACGTGCATGCCCAATGATTCATCTCCATTTTCTCCAACATATTCATTGCTTCAGCAATCGGCTCTCGCCTTCTTGGTTGGTTTGTTTATCGCCAAAGTTTCTTCTTCCGAATTCTTTCTGGTCAACTGGCCGGCCTCACAGCCACGAAGTGCAAGTCTCTGAGCCATACATACAGCAGAAGAACTGACTGACCTCAAATTTGTGTTGAAGAATCCGATTCTTGTTCTTCATACTGCCTGGCTGAGTGGAGAAGATTTGCAAGCTGGTTTCACGTTGATGGAGTATCTTGCCTTGCTGATTCCAGCTACATCCGTTCCGTCTGTGACTCAGACCGGGAAGTTAAACTTTCGACACCACTAACTACCTATCAGCGAATTATCCAATGAGATTTACGAACGATGTCGAATTATCCAATGAGATTCACGAACGTAGTTCAATGTTGTAGAGCGCTTGATTCATTTCTAATGCGTGACCTTACAAGGTTACGGCTGCAATTTGAGGAGGTTAGTGTTTTCCAGTATTGCCTGGATTTAAATTGCTCCGGAAGGAGCGAACTTGTTCTTGTGTTGGTATCATGACTTTAAAAAGCTATAGCAGATCAACTGGTGGGTTTGTTCATCGTTGTGCTATATGTTTGAAGCATGCTAATATTAGAGAGGGTAAGCTGATAATTTTAATATTTCGTGGGAAATTTTTCCGCTAGGTCACATCTCTCCCTAACCCAGATTTTGTATATCTGCAATTACTGGGTGTTGAAACAGCCGGTGAGAGCAGCAGCTGCCGAGACTGAGAATAGTCTTGTCTCAACAGTTTAGTGGTACCAGCATTGCAGAGATATTGCATCGTGTAAAATAGAGACAATCACTTGTTTGCTGTGTGGATCCCGTTACGAGGACTCATACGAATTCCACTGAAGGTTTTTGGGGCCGCTTGAAAAACAAGATAAGGGCTATAAATGGACCTGAAAAGGATCTCATTTACGGCCGTTCAGATGAATATAGGTACAGGATGTGCTGTGACTTCGCCATTGACAGTCACATGCTAAACTGGGGGATGTTTCTCTCACATATTTGAGAAAGATACTCCTTGTAACCGTTTTATCCTTCTTTATGCTTTTTTCTATAAATATGCGTTTCCATTCATCATATATGCCTATTTAATATGATTGGTCCGTTCAAGGTCGTTTGCTGATTGGTTGCTAGTGGTGTCGAAAGTTTAACTTTGCCCTCAGACCGAAAAAGCAAGCGATACAGGCTGAAAACTATCACTACAGGTTACCCATCACATAAACGTTTAGGGGTTAAGTTAAATCCTTTTAAGCTGTTTCCAACCTACTACTCTCTAATAATCCCGTATAAAATAATATTATGATGAGAGCAACTAAAATAGTCAATAATTAGAATAAAAAATTTGGGTGAAATATCAAGAATTTACTCAAAACATAGAATACAACCACCACGAGATGTTCTCTCGGTTTGTTTACAAGAAACAACCCAACATACCTCCATGTACACAGAAATCACATGAATATTTATCCAACGTTTCTAAGTAAGTGAAATATGGTGCATCTTCTACTACCTATAGGTAGAAAGAAAAATAAGTATTTTTTATATTATTATTATTACTATTATTATTATCACTCTTATTTGGATAGTGTTATTAGAAGACGCGGATTATCTGAGGAAAAATGTACTGATGTATTTGCACCATACATTTCGAACAACCTGATCACTCACACATTTACATAGTGATATGCGTATAAACCTTGGGCACTGTGGTGGTAGATTTTAACTCCATTAGACATAAGATTTTATTTTGATAAGGTGTCACAGTGTAGTGTTATACACTAATATTAATTGATGACCACGTTTCGAGAACAATTCATTACAACTCATAATCATATCAAGTCACCCACACAACTTTTTTCCTTCATTTATATACATGAGTGAAATTGATGATGAGATATTTGAATAAAAACCAATATAGGATGATGTACATTCAAAAATAATATTATGAGTGTTATTGATCAAATACAATCAGATGGGAAATAAGACAAGTGTTTTATAGTCAAAATAAATAACTTGTTGGAATACAATTGGTGGATGGTGGCTAGTAGTGGAATCCAGGATGTGCATTTCGTCCTGTTTGGGACTCGTCATCTGGGTGTACCTGCATTTCTCAGTGAGTGATGATGTTCCCACTGAGGCTGGAACCCAGTGCCCATAGTTTCAAGCGCCAAAGTGCTATCCACTAGACCACTTGAAACTATGGGCACTGGGTTCCAGCCTCAGTGGGAACATCATCACTCACTGAGAAGTGCAGGTACATCCAGATGACGAGTCCCAAATAGGACGAAATGCGCATCCTGGATTCCACTACTAGCCACCATCCACCAATTGTATACTAATTAAATGCCCAGAAATCGTCGAGGCATCTGCACAAGAAGCCGACATGTCAACCTGAGACCGAGCACTTCGGTCCAATCAATCGACGGGAAAATCAAAAACTTCAATTCAACTTGTTAGAATGTTGTGATGTGTTTGAGTTAAAATAGAATACAATTTAAGATTATTTATTGTCCTCCTCTGATTTGACTGACTAACTGGTGGTAATAATATCTTCCATGCATATCTGTGGTATTTGCGTTGAGTCATTTCTGTGGCATCTGTTAGGTAAACTGAACACTAGAGTTTATAAAAAAACCAACGCATTCTACTAATAAATATTTAGACTTCAATTCATCTCATCCGTCACTATCAATCTGTGAAGGTAGGATTAGTTAAATGTCTAACAAACCGAGCAATAGCACTAAGCAGTACAAAAAAAGACCTAAACGATGAAACGAAGCAGATAGAAGAATAATTGGTTGGTGTTGAATAACTAACAATCCCAGAAAATTCACTAAAGATCAGTGAATTATTGATATAAGTATAAAACCTGGGCTTTGGTGTTGAATAACTATCCTTTGAAATTCATTAGGAAGATCGAAAAAGGTCAAACGAAAAATAAAAATAATTGTGAAACTAGTAATAATATTGTGGTGAGAGCAGGCCGTGAGAAAATATGAGCAAGGCTGATTCAACAACCAATCACAGCAGAGTTAACGTGGCAAAATATGATTCGCAGATAGAGAACTCTATTTGTCGAGGAATCCCGAAACAACCAATCAGAAGCCTGCGTTTGTCTGCCTAACTTCTGATAAACAACCAATCAGATGACTGCGCTTGTCTACTTGCATAAGCTATAATAATGTATGTGAAATATGTATAAATACGTGTTGATTTTCATAATAAAACGATCTGTTGCCTGGCCCTTGTCTTCTGTTGTTACAATATCATAAATAAGATAGAATATAAGTCATCTTCAGTGATACCATATAAAGAGGGGACATTTGAGACCCGCCCTATGTAGGATTCTAAATAAAGCAGGAATTAGGGTGGCATTTAAACCTACAAACTCACTCAGATAGGACAAGCTCTGTAGGCTAAAAGACCCCGTGGACCCAATTAGACAAAATAACATAATTTACAAAATACCCTGCAATGATTGTGAGGTCAACTACATAGGTCAAATTCTAAAAAGTAATATAGGTAGGTGGAGAGAGAGGTTGATTAAGGAATCCTTATTCATCGAGTCTACACCCAACACGTGCAACAGAAGTGACTCAATGCAAATACCAGAAATATGGAAGATATTATTACCTCAAGTCAAATCAGAAGAGGATAATAAATAATCTTAAAATTCTATTTCAATTCAAACACATCAAAACATTCTAACAAGTAACTTATTATGACTATAAAAAAAAACACTCGTATAAAAATTCGTATTTCCCATATAATTGTAATGGGTCAATAACACTACCACTAATATTTTTGAATGGACATTATCTCACATTGATTTTTAAGCCAATATCTAATCGATTCCACACATATACATAAATGAAAGAAAAAAGTTGTGTGAGTGATTGATATGATTACGAGCTAAAGTAATAGTTTGTGCTCGAAACGTGGTCATCAGTTAATATTACTGTATAACACTACACTGTGTGACACCTTATCAAAATAAAATCTTATTATTTTTTTTATTTACAGCTTGATTCCACACCGTATTTTTGGTACAAGTATGGAATTTTCAGCATGGATATCGGTAGCCCAAATTTTGCAGGCCGACCATAGATATCAGGTGTGCGTCGGCAGGTGTTCGAACCTCGGACCATGTGCATGGTCGGCGAGAGTCCTAACCACTGTGCCACCGATAATGGAGTCACACATTTACTTGTCAAGTCGATATAAATCAGAAAAATTAAGGGAAATTAAATGAAGCAAAATGACAACAAAAAAGGGATTTAAGAATGATTAACACAACGTTTGGTAATCCAATCAAATAAGGATTAGTAAGGTAGTACGCTAAGAGTAATAATAAACTGTTTTTGAATACACAGTGGCGGGGTGGGGCTTAAGAATACCTATAGCCTAAGAGTATTTCAGTAAGCGCCCTTGACAATTTTTATGAATGACCTTAAAGCATGAGTTAACATCATTCTTATGGTTCATCTCGGTCAGATAATCTCCGTCTCTAATAACACTATCCGAATTTATAAAAGGGACTAATTGTTTTAAATTATTATTATTGTTTATATATAGTTATCAAATAAGATAGGTTTTTTCATTGAACGAAATATGCTCATATTGAGTCATAAGAAAAAGACTACGATTGTAACAGACTTATCTCCCTACCTGACTCAATTTAACTGTCAAGGATTTCATGGATTGATGCCATGTTTTTGTTTGGCCACCACTTACTCTTTTCAACCTGCACCTATATCAGCTAGTAATGCCCGTCGGGGGAGGCGATGGTTAGGCATGCTCACCACGTGACCTAGCCACCTCAATCGATGTAACTTTATAGCCTCGTCGATTGATTTTCCCTCTTTGCCCAACACTCTACGCCTAACGTCAACATTACTTACCTTATTATACCACCTAACGTGAGAAAGAGATCGTAGACATCTGTGATCAAAAACAGTCAACCTTTTCATGTCTTCAACTCGTATTGGCCATGTTTCAGAGCCATAGACAAGGACGGAGCGAACTGCTGAGCAGTAGACACGTCCCTTGGTTAATAGCCGGATGTCACGCCTACGCCAGAGATGGTGTAAGTTAGTGAAAGCAGCTCGAGCTTTTTGGATCCGTGCTGAGATTTCGTCGCCAATCAGTCCGTTGGTGCTGATACAACTTCCCAAATAGGTGAAGTGGTCAACATGTTCTGTCACTTTACTCCCTATCACTAAGCTAGGATTTGACGTAGTCCAGTCCTGTAGCAGCATCTTAAGACTATTTAATGCACGCTAGCCAAGATAGCAGTGTTCTACATACACCGATAATATCATAACCTCAAAATTAGGAATCTGCTTATGTGATTGTGAATAGAGTCTATATGACAAGGTTTAAAAGTAGAAGACATTTAAATTTCCATGAGTAGAAAGAATTAATTAGTAGACGACATTGAATCTAATTTCCACGATTGTAGTAGTTATTTGGTAAACTAAGTCATCTAAAACTTCGGAGAAACTAATACCTAACCTGTAAAGAAAGTATAATTGTACACCGGTGAATTGCGTAATCCAAACAATATTACTGTTGAACGAATAGGGCAGGCTGAATTCTCCAATACAGTAACAATTCTCATTTAGACATTTAGAAGATGAAAACTAAGAAGACTGAGCAAAGATATTCTTTCCGAGTTTAACTACGGATTGATATCAGTTAGAGAAACATTGAAAACCAACACTGCAGTACTGGACATCTGTTTCATCCTAGCTTGAGAATCATCGTCGGTACGCACTTCATCATAGATGTACTAATGGACTTAACCCTAACTCACTACAGAGACTCAGGGACTGACTTGCTACCTGGGAATAATCTCGTTGACTTAGGATATGCAGACGATGTAGCCCTTCTAGGTGAAGACGCTGACAAAATGCAGAGTCTTCTAAACACCTTGAACTGCAATCTATGAATGTTTGGCATGCGATTCGCTCCCGCCAAATGCAAGATGATGTTACAGGACTGGACTACACCGACTCCTAGATTAGAAATAAGAAGTGAAGTGGCAGAGCACGTTGACCGCTTCACTTACTTGGGAAGTACCATCAGTCAACGCCAACGGGTTGATCTCTGACGAAATCTCAGCGAGGATACATAGGCTAGTTTCGCATATGCCAGTTTACGTCGTCTCTGGCGTAGACGTGATATCCGACTATCGACCAAAGTCGGGTGTACTGCTCATCAGTCCGCTCCGTCCTCCTTTATGGCTGTGAGACCTGGCCATTGAGAGTGGAAGACATGAAAAGGCCGCTAGCTGTCTTTGATCATAGGTGCCTGCGCTCTATCTCCCGTGTGAAGTGGCATAGTAGGGTAAGCAATTCTGAGGTGAGGCATCGGTCGAGTGCTAGGTAAGTTGGAGGGGAAATCAATCGACGAGGTTGTGAAGCTACATCGACTGGGATGGTTAGGACATGTGTTACGTATGCATCCTTAGTCATCGCCTTCCTCGAGGGGCAGTGTTAGGTGACATAG